GGTGAGAAATGATAGAAATTATATGAAAACATGACATATGTGACATGTGAATTATATGGAAATGATCTACGTGTAAGTGAACTACGTGACTATGTGATCATATGAAAAGAAGCTATGTGATAAGTGATATGTGAAAGTGAATTACAAGTTTATGTGAATATTTGAAATGAAATAAATGATAACGCCCATGTTATGTGTCATGAGAGCTAGGGGTATAGTTGGCATGCCAAGAGTCGAGGGTCTACGCGGTTCTTCGGACATATGTATATTCTTTGGAACATGTGTGAAGTCTGGAAAGACACATACTTGATCCCTAGCATATGTATATGATTCTTAAAGAATTCTATGTGGTCCTTATGGACATTATTATATGGCACTACGGTGCAATTCTACGCGGTTCTTCGGGACATATGTATATTCTTTGGAACATGTGTGAAGTCTGGAAAGATACATACTTGATCCCTAGCATATGTATATGATTCTTAAAGAATTCTATGTGGTCCTTATGGACATCATTATATGGCACTACGGTGCAATTCTACGGGGCACTTCGGTGCATTTATACGAGCTGTGGTGACAGCATAGTGCACAACCTCTATAGACTCACATATCGATAGTTCTCACATATGTACATGGGCTAATCCAGAGATATGAACAAATATAAGTTAGTGGTATGATAAATGCTATAGAAATGATATGATGTTGTGTGTGTATAGTGTTTGATTGAAAAAGTATGTGATTATATGATAAACTGTTAATGATGAATTATGTGTATGTATGTATTTACTGCAATTAATCTGATATGATTTTATACGATATGAAAAATGTATGGAATTGCTATAACATGATAGAACAGAACATGCATGTATCAATATATGTTTTAAAGTGCATTATAAGTTGTTATGCCTCACTAAGTCTTCGACTTAGCGTGTGATTGTTTCACACGTAGGTTTCGAGAAGAGTAAGGAGGGATGCGGAGCAAGACAGGTCAGTTTTCCTTACCAAAAGATCAGATCAGAAATATTTGACAAAGTATGTATTTGGTTATGTATAAAGTGTTGGCATGTAATAAGTCATTAAGTACGAGCACTCTGATAAAGTCTTTATTTTGATTTAAATAAAGTTTTAAATTTCCCGAGATTTTTCTTAAGAGTCAAGGTTTGAAAAGTCAATGTGACACTTCGGACTCGTATCCGGGTCGGATACGGGTTGGGGGTGTTACAGTAAAGGTGTTGTATACCTCATCAATTGGAACTCTGATGTATGTCATGGTTTACCAGACCAGATATTGCTCATGCAGTGGGAGTTATTAGCAGGTACATGAATAATCCGGGCAAGGTACACTGGAAAGCAGTCAAATGGATCCTCAGATATATGCGAGGTACCACAAACAAAGCACTTTATTTCAAAGGTGGAGATACGATACTAACAGGCTATGTAGATGTCGACTTAGCCATAAATGTCGACATCAGAATAAGCACTACAGGGTATGTCTATACTCTAGGAGGAACTGTAGTGAGTTGGGTTTCTCAACTACAGAAGATAGTTGCTCTCTCCACAACTGAAGCAGAATATTTCGCTGTTACGGAAGCCAGCAAGGAGATGGTCTGGCTCAAAAGTTTCTTGGAAAAGTTAGGCAAGAAACAAGAAAACAATGTCTTGTATTGCGGCAATCAAAGGGCTATCCATCTAGCAAAGAATCCTTCTTTTCATTCCAGGACAAAGCACATACAATTGCGATATCATTTATTACGGTCTCTTCTGGAAGATGAGATTTTGAAACTTGAAAAGATTAGTGGAGCTCAAAATCCGGCAGACATGTTGACAAAGACGGTGACTATGGACAAACTGAAGTTATGTTCAACTTCAGTTGGAATACTAGAATAACAAGACCAGAAATGCTGCTGGATTGATCGAGGTGTGAAGACAGATTAAAATCAGCCTTCAAGTGGGAGATTGTTGAAATTAAACAATTAAAACATGGGCGGCTGAGCAAGTGGGGCAGCTGAATATAATTCAACAATTTGGGCAGTTTTTGTTGAAAAATTATAAAGGGATAATCACCAAATTTAGTCATTGAACTTTATGGTATTTATAAGAATAGTCCTCAAGCTTCAACTATAAATATCATATCCCATTTAGCTTCAAAATCATCCCAAATCATTTCTTTCTCCCAATACTAAAGAGTTTAGAGAGTTCTCTTGTGAGTAGTGAGTGTTTTGTAAACACCTGTAAATTTTATCTCTTTAGTAAAAGATTTGCAGCAGTCCGGAGACTTAAGCAAAATTGGCTGAACTCCGTTATCAATTTCGGGTATTATTTTTTCGCTTTTATTTCGCATTCTCACTAATCTGGTTATAGGAAAATTACTCGTTTATTTCCCAACAAATGAATAGTCTGGTGATCATTTTGTAACTTTTAATAGTCGAGGAACTTAATAATATAACACTCTATAGTAAAAGGATCATTTTGTAACTTTTTAGTAATTTATGACTTAATAAAATAATATTCTATAATCAGTGCATCTGTGTACTTTAACCCGTTTTATTTAATTTAAATTAATTTAATCTCATTCCAATCGCATATCACAGAAAATTTATACTAAAATTATTAGTATCCGTCTAATTAATTAATTAGTTAATTTAAATATTATATAAATTCATTACAAAAATAATTATTTTAGTTTAATTTATTTTTTCGTGATATTATGATTCGAATTTGTAGTGTAACTTGAAAAATCTAATTATTTATCTTAATAAATTATTGATAATTATTTTTTTTAGTTTGAATATATGAATATATTGAAAATTTCATGAATATTTAAATATTAGTTTTGTTTAATTCAATGGATAGATAATAAATTAGATAATAATATGAATTAATTTTAAATTTTTACAATAACAAATTATCTCCTGACTGATTGATTATGTCTGTCACGGCCTGAATCAAGCCCGGACTCGGTCTTAACTCGGCCCAACCATGAAAACTAAGCCATGCACGCATTGGTTAAATCTAATCCCATCTCGAGCAAAGGGTCCTTCTAAATTTTTATTATATGACTTTAGAATGATATTTGGTATGCTAAATGTTACGGGATGTTTATCACAGTCTAATTTAAGGTTAAAATTTATAAATAAGGGCATAATCGAAAATATTATTAAAAATAAAATATTTTTGATTGCACGCAACTTAAAATATTAATTTTTTTCTTAATATTTTTGGTTGCACACATTCTTTATAACATTTTCGATTTAACTGAAAATATTAAAAATTTAACATTTTAGGTTGTGCTCAACCGAAAATGTTATTTTTTAACATTTTTGTTTGAGTCCATTCCGTTCGTTTCTTAACCTTAACTTAAATTGTTGTACGATAGAACTTCTCAAACATTGTATTTGTCTTCCAACTCAGTTAAATAAACGTCTAATTATGATTTCAGTCCCTAATCTTTATATAATTTTATATTTAACTCTTATATACATATGATCCACTCAAAAAATGTAAAACTAATTAGGTTTAATCTACCAATAAGATTTTATTCATCAACATCCTTCTTTCAAATTTCATGGAAATAAATATGCTAGACTTCTTTATTGTGGATAATTATACGGTACAATCACTTATTATAAGGCTAATTAAGGCGTGACTTAAAATATTATAAAATAACATAATATTTTAGTTTACACTAACCTAAAATGTTAAATTTTCTTACTTTTTTTATTACAAACATATTTTAAGTTATAATAAAATATATTATTATTTTTATAATATTTTATGTTATAACCAAAAATATTAAAATATATAATACTTTAAGTTACACATAACCTAAAATATTATGTTATATTTACTTAATGTTATCGCACTCTAGAACTCATCCTTTATTGCAGCCTTCTAATCTACTAATGATTTCACCAATGGAACATTTTTTTTTTGATAATGTAGGATTTTTTAATGTCAGATTAAAGAATCTGACCTTACAAGATAATCTTCGGAGGGACTCAAAAAATCTACTACTCTGTCCTTCCGCTTTTTTTCAAGATTTTCAGCCAACACGATTTAAACCTAAAATATAAGACGAGTTTATAATCCCAAGAGCATTGCTTTACCAAATAGGCCACGCCTGCTGTGGTCATTCAAAGAGAAAGTAATTAGTGGGTCCCAAACAATTCTTTCAAAGCGCAAGGGTAGGGCTAGATTCTAGAGTTTGGCAATTTTCAGAATCGATTTTTAGTTATGTACCACTTGACATTAAAATTTCACCGAACTTAAAAACATGTATTTTAACTTTTAAATTGTGTTATATTTTTCTTAAATTTTTGGCAATTTTGATAGAATAATTTAAACCTCAAATCTATTTTAGCTGAATTTTTTACAAATTACTCGGCCGGGTTGGGTACCCTGCCCGATATTTATCGGGTCGGGTATGGGTTACAAAATCTAATTTTTTCAGGTATCCGGTTACTCGAGTACCCGGTTAATTTTTATTTTTATTATATATATATATATATATAATGGATTATTTATATTATCTATTGTTAGATTTTGTATTTCGAACTTTTAAATTTTATGTTCGGATATTGGAGTATGTAATTCGAAGTTTAAAACATTTAAATTTGTGCATATTTTTTTAAATTAATAATTTAAAAATGAAGAAAAATAAAACCGGGTACCCGACAAAATTCGAATACCCAATAACATCCGGGTCAAAACAAAGATCGAAAAATCATCGACCTGAATGTTGCTAGTACAAAAAAATTCGAGTAACTGGATTTGCACACCCCTAATATGATATTATAGTGAATTTAAACCTCAAAAAATCTCCTATCATTTTCTATTTACTTCAAATTTAATAAAAAATAATTTAGTTATAAATATTAATTTAAATTTTATTTTAAGAATTATTCTATTCCAAAAAAAAATCATAACCTCCAAATGAATTTACATTAATTATACATTAATTATACATTTATACTGCGTAGTGAGTTTAAAAACTATTTCTATCTGCCGTTTCCAGATTTAACGACCTAAATTCTGGACGATCGGTTTCTACTTTCCAAGCCGTATGCTAAACACTTTCTCTCTCTTCTCGATTCGTCATGCGTTTCATCAAAAGCTTGTTCCATTAATTCTTTATTTTCTAGATTTTTACGGCGGAGTAGCAGGCAGATCCGCCGCTAACACGGGCACCATGAGCAACAACGGCCAACCCACCACACCGTATCGGAACTATATCCCCGGAATCGTCATGGATCCAACGTCACAGGTCGTGAACCGAGGTCTCGTCGGCAAGCGAACGCTAGCTGACTTCCAAATGCAGCAAAACCAGAACAATCATCTTGGCCTAGACGGTTTTTATCTCCGTTCGGTTAAGCCCAGAAATTTCCAGCACACTTTCCCGATTTCTCCACTATCGCCCCTTGATTTCTCGTCTCCTACCTGCAATTCGCAGTTCTACGGCATGTCGCTATTACAACAACTGCGCCCGCAGCAGCTTCCTCAAGGCATCACCGCCGGAGCCACAACCCAGGCGGTGAAACCGTGTTTATCGGGCGCTCCGTGCATGAACCCGGTTCAAAAACGGCTAGTCCAGCAGCAAGACCCGGAGAAAAATATGAGGAATCAACTACAAGAGTTGGAGAAACAACTATTGGACGACAACGACAACGAAGGAGATACGGTTTCGGTGATTACCAATACCAACAGCGACTGGTCCGAAACTATACAAAGCTTATTAAGTTCTAGCAGCCCTAACAACCCGATTGCTCCATCTTCAACTTCTTCATCTTCTTCGTCGACAACATCGGGGGTTTCTCGGGCTTCGACTTGTTCTAGGCAGACAATAATGGAGGTTGCTTCAGCTGTTTCCGAGGGTGAAACTGACGTTTTAAACCAGATCCTAAGCCGATTATCATTATTTGCTGACGCTAAAGGGAATTCCGAGCACAGGTTGATCGAGTTTATGTTGTTGTGTCTTAAATCGCGGGCTAACTCGGTGGAAAACCCGCTGCCAGTGGCTGAGTTGTTCAGTACCGAACACGTTGCGTCCACTCAGATACTTTATGATTTGTGTCCTTGTTTTAAGCTTGGGTTTTTGGCCGCTAATTTAGCCATCCTCGACGCTACTTTGGAGAAACCAAACTGTAAGAACTTGCATGTTATTGATTTTGATCTCGGGAAAGGAGGGCAGTACGTAAATCTTCTCCACTCGCTATCGGAGCGTGGGATTGCGAATCCTTCGTTGGTAAAGATCACAGCTGTTGCTGATAACGGTGGGGATGAGGGGTTGAAGATGGTCGGCGATAAGCTGAGTCAAATCGCTAAACAATTCGGAGTTTGCTTGAAATTCAATGTGATAACGAATCTTAAACTCAGAGATCTGAGTCGCGATTCGCTTGAGTGCGAAACGGACGAGTCATTGGCTGTTAACTTTGCGTTCAAGGTTTATCGGATTCCCGACGAGAGCGTGTCGGTGGAGAACCCGAGAGACGAGCTTCTCCGTCGAGTGAAAGCATTGGCGCCGCGTGTGGTAACGTTAGTGGAACAAGATATGAACACCAATACGGCGCCGTTCGCGTCGAGGGTGGTAGAGGCGTGCGGGTATTACGGAGCGTTGTTCGACTCGATCGAGTCGACCGTGTCGTCGGAACACTCGGAGCGAGTGAAGCTTGAGGAAGGTCTGTGGCGAAAAATCGCCAACTCAGTTGCGTGCGAGGGGAGGGACCGAGTCGAGAGATGTGAGGTATTCGGGAAGTGGCGGGCCCGGATGAGCATGGCGGGATTCGAGTTAAAGCCTATGAGCCAAAGCGTTGTGGAGTCGATGCGCGCCAGACTCAGTTCGGGTAATCGCGTCAACCCGGGGTTCACCGTTAAAGAAGAAAACGGAGGCGTTAGTTTTGGTTGGATGGGCCAAACTCTGACCGTCGCATCTGCTTGGCGTTAACTTCATGTTTCTTCTATTTTATCATTGATCGGTGTTTTGTATTTTTATCCTTTTTCCATATTAAAAAAAATCCCACCAAACCGAACCAAACCAGTATCCCGTGCCCACATTTTATTTAATATATAAATATAATTTGTTTGTGTTGAAAAAGGTGTTGGCTGTAAAACTGCTGGCTTCGTTGTTTACGGGACAATGGTGTTTGCGTCACATTACCAACAATCGGAGGGCTCCACTTTATGGATTACTATTGTTTTTTAAATATATCTAAATTATTATTATATTTATAAAAAATCCTAATATCTTTTAAATTATAAAAAAAATACCTCAAAATCTCTAAAAAAATTTAAATCCTAACCCTAATACACTATCGATGTCTTTTCTAGTCAAGACTATCATCGCTGACGTAACTCTTGCTATCATCCTAGTTATATGTGGTTGTAGTTGTCGTTGATTCGTCGTCTGAATCGCGATTTTCATCCTAAAGTTCGAGAATACAAAATATCGGTTTTTTGTCTACCGGTCACAATTTCATATGAGTTTTGATCGCCTGAGGAGGGACGGTCGGATGAAATTTCTTCGACGATAAAAGGTGATAGTCGTCATAAATTTAGGGATTAAAATAAAAGTTTTTAAAATTTTGGGATTATTTCAAAATTTATGTCTTCTTTTTAAAAAAAATATAATTTTATTTTTTATTTTAAATATATTTTATAAAATTATCATATTATTATGATACATGTTGCTTAATGAATGAATTTAACGTCGTTCACGATTTGAGTACTTAAAGTGATTAGGTTCGTAAAGTTAATGGGCCAAAAATTCCGTAGGCTAGTATTTGACACAAAAGGTATACTACCAACGCTCACCTCCCTCTTCTCTCCCTCCTTCACCCGTCGTACCACGGTGTCCCTGCGCCGGCGTCTCCATATCCGTCCGCCTATAACCGCTAGGTTCTCCGCCCAAAGCGCGGCGACGAGTCCACCGGATACCGGGGATCAAGTTGACGGTAAGAAGAGCAGCCGAGTGCAAGACCGAGGAAACACGGACCGAGTCATAACGCCTCGGTCTCAGGACTTCAATGCTTGGTACCTTGATGTTATTGCCAACGCTGAGCTAGCTGATTATGGTCCCGTTCGTGGAGCAATGGTCATTTGCCCCTACGGTTACGCTATTTGGGAAGCAATTCAGGTCGCTTCATTTTCTTATAATTTCCACTAATGGTTGCTCTTTTCTATCTTTTCAAAATTTTGGTTGATTTTGGATTTTTGCAGGATTATTTGAATGTTAAATTCAAGGAGACTGGGCATAGTAACATGTACTTCCCACAGGTGTGGGCATTGGTTTAGATAGAAATTAAGCTATCCTATTGTATATTTGCTTTGGTTTATGAAATTTACTGTGACTGCAGTTTATTCCATACTCATTTATAGAGAAAGAAGCTAGCCATGTGGAGGGATTTAGTCCAGAATTGGCTCTTGTCACGGTTGGAGGAGGAAAGGAACTCGAAGAGAAACTTGTGGTACACATGTAGTATTAGTTAGCTTAACTCTTTTTGTTTCTAGTATTACTTGCTAAATCTTCTCACTGCATTTTGATGAATTAGCTTAAATCTATCCAGCGACATACATACTGAATTACTTTTTAATGAAAATGCTGGTTCGAGAGTAACCATGATGGCATGACCTGATCAGTTTTGCCTTTGATCGTTATACTCCCTGAGGTTGTGACAGGTTCGACCTACCAGTGAAACCATTGTAAATCATATGTTTACTCAGTGGATTCACTGTTAACGTGATTTTAGTCTAATGATTAATCAGGTATCACCTTAGTTATTTATAACCTGTTTATATAGTTATGCAAAGTTGCCACTAACTGAGATCCACTCATTTTATCATGTTTTATTTGGTTTAGTGAGCAAATGTCAGTAGATGGGAGATGCGCACTAAACCGTTTGTAAGGACCCTTAAATTTTTTTGGCAGGAAGGCCACACAGCTCATGCAACACCAGAAGAGGCTGAAAAGGAGGTTTGTCACTTTACTTATGGCTTGGTTATGATTATTTCAGATGGTATTGTTTTTATTAAGGATTGGATGCTACTGAACTGCAAGCTGCAATACCTGTAATTGTAGGTAGAAAATCTAAAGTGGAAACGTTTGCTGGTGCCAATAAAACCTACACAATAGAGGGTATGATGGGTGATCGCAAGGCCTTGCAAGCTGGAACCAGCCACAATCTTGGGCAAAACTTCTCCCGTGCTTTTGGGACACAGGTGATTGATACACTGTGTGCATCTTTTTACCATTCCTGACATGGATATGCATCCAGTGAGCAAATAATTTGTTACCTAATGAAGTTTAATGTTTAGGAAATTTCTGGAAAATAGTGCACTTTTATTATTTACTGTCACGTAGATGAAATATGGACCAATGCAAAGAATATTATCTGACCTTTGTATTGGTAACTCCATGAATAATAAAGGTTTTTTTTTACCGAGACTTGTCCTTGTACAGTCACTGATGAAAATGGACAAATATAAAATTATTTATTACATATCCAAATTTTAAAAATATTTAGTTTAATACAAAATTATTTATTACATATCCAAATTATATAAAAATATTCTCATCTTAAATTATTTAAGACAAAAAGTGATTAAAATATAAACATTTATAAATTGGAATTCATCCCCTATAAGTATACGCAACAAAGAACCATTTAAGACTAGACCTTTAACCTTTGCAACATTGAAAACATATAATTTGAAAGCTTCAAGTTTTATCCAACTTAACAAAGGGTAGTGGACTTTCACTTTAATTAAAAAAGGGTAAATTAATAGTTTAGTACCTAAACTATCAACTTTGATCCATTTAGTATTTAAACATTTAATTTTTCAAAATCATACCTAATGTTTATTTTTATTTTATTTTAGTACCCCTGTTCAAAATTTAACTAAGTTTTGAAAAAAAAATCAATAGTTAGGAATGATTTTGGTACTAAAATGGGCCAAAATTGATAGTTAGTTACTAAATGCGTCAAGTTTTTAACTGCGGGTACTAAAATGATATGAAAACTAAAATTAGGTATGATTTTAAAAAAAATTAAAAGTTTAGGTACCCGTTAAAAACTTAAACACATTTAGTATATAACTATCAATTTTGACTTGTTTTAATATCTAAACTATCGTTTTTTTTAAAACTTTTAATTTTTTTAAAAACTTAACATTAAATTTTATATAAAGATACTAAAATGAAACAGAAAAATAAAAATTTTAACGACGATATCAAATTTTAAGTATTATTTTTTAAAAAAAATAAAAATTCAAATATTAAAAAATATATAAAAATTGATAATTTAAATATTTAAAAGGATGGGAAATGCAGCAGAAAGAGACCGAGGGATGAATGTGGGTCCAAACTATAACCCCTTTCCCGTTAGGCAGGGCGGTGGAGAAACTCCACTCTCAACATTCCACGTTCCTCAAATTATACCAATCATTTCAAGTTACGTTTATATTTTAATTTACGAGAATAATATTCATTTATTAAAATATTATGCTTTTAATAAAGATGCATTGCAGAATAGATTATTTGAACAATCCTTTTTGTACAAATATAATTCAGTACTAAAAAAACAATACATATATATATATATTTTTACATATTTATACAAACAGTACTAATATATTTTATGAGAAATATTTTTTAAGATGGACATATATATTAACAACATAAATTTTTTAAATGAGATGAGTGTAAATAAAATTTTAGGGCGGATACCGTTCATAAAATAAGTAATTAATCGAATAAAATTTATATTTTAAGATGGGCACAAAAAATTTTCAAGATAAACACCATTAATAAAATAAACAACTAATCAAAAAAAATTCAAATTTTAAGATAGGAACGTATCACCCTACCAAGCCGAGGCTCCGCTACTGCTAGGAAGACTAGCAAATATCCATTAATAGCTTAGGTTGTGGTCGATATCAAATGATGCAGTAGCAACTAAACTTTGACACGAGACTTTTTAGGCAGCCAATGCTACATAATATATTTATGAGAAAATAACTTTAGTGACCAAAAATCTTAGATAATATACGATTTTGACCAATTTTTTTTTGGATTTGCGAAAATGACCAACAAAATCGCAATGCGATCTCTAATTCGCATTGCGATCTCCACTATCGAAATTCGCGTTGTGATAGTTCATGGAAAATCGCATTGCGATTTTCCATTTCGCGTTGCGATAGATGAAAATCGCAACACGGTTTTCTATTTCGCGTTGCGATAGTCTACAGTTGTCGTTGCGATTTTCCAAATTCGTTGTGATAGTTAATAAAAAGATTTTGTTTCTTAAGAATTTTCTCTAAAAAGATAGTATCCGCGCGGACGTGTCGAAGACACGTATGACCACGACCACGACCACGACCACGACCACGACCACGACCACGACCACGACCACGACCACGACCACGGACGGCGGCGGCGGCGCGCGAGAGTCTCCCTTGTTCTCTATCACTCAACAAGGAAGTGGGAAAGACAAGCCTTAAATATCATTCCCAATAGTGTTTCCAATACTATGTGGGATTGAGCATTACCAACACTTGTTTTCAATACAATGTGATTATTCAGGAAACAATTAACAATCATGCACCTTAAAACAACTGAATTAGCAACCAATTGCATTAGTATTATACGATTAAATATGTCATAATTAAAAGTCAATCTACAATCAATCGCGATTATTGCAATTTTAAGCAAAACATTCAAAAATAATATCACTATTTAAGGCTCAATCCCACATAGTATTGGGAACAAGTGTTGGTAATGCTCAAATCCCACATAGTATTGGAAACACTATTGGGAATAGTATTTAAGGCTTGGCTTTCTCATTTCCTTGTTGAGTGATAGAGAACAAGGGGGACTCTCACGCACCGCCGCCGTCGTCCGTCTCGTCTCGTGGTCGTGGTCGTGGTCGTTGTAATACGTGTCTTCGACACGTCCGCGCGGATACTATCTTTTTAGAGAAAATTCTTAAGAAACAAAATCATTTTTTTAACTATCACAACGAATTTTCGCAACGAATTTAGAAAGACACTATCGCAACGCGAAATGGAAAATCGCAACGCGAAATGAAAAATCGCAACGCGATTTTCAACTATCGCAACGCGAAATGAAAAATCGCGTTGCGATTTTCAACTATCGCAACGACAACTGTAGACTATCGCAACGCGAAATGAAAAATCACAACGCGAAATGCAACGCGAATTTACGATAGTGGAGATCGCAATGCGAATTAGAGATCGCATTACGATTTTATTGGTCATTTTCACAAATCTAAAAAAAATTAGTCAAAATCATATATTATCTTAAATTTTTCATCACTAAAGTTATTTTCTCTATATTTATACGCCAAACCCAGAACATCGCTTCTTATTATTATTTTCTGTTGGCCTTTTTCTAATTTCCACCATGAAATCATTAACCATTGCAATAAACTACGTGGTTTGTTTTGGTAAATGGCGAAACCTAACAGTGCTTATTCAGAGTGATGGATTAAATTAATATATCTGTTCTTGGGGGGTTAAAAAGTTAAGTGCAGGGGCCACTATGCATTATTAGGATACTTTAGGTGGGGAGATTGAAAGGTGAACTGTGGAGTTAACACGTAGCCCATGAAATTGAAGCAACGTTCAAGACCGGAATCATGTCCAATGGCAGTGCAGTCGGGTCACTCTTCCACTAACACTTTTTTTTATGTCATATATTGGGCTCCGACATTGCAAATAGGCAGGTTTATCTATCTTGCTGTAGTCGACCTGTCTAGTTGTTGGCGGTCTTGTCTCTTGTTTAAGTATTGTTATTTTACTTTTTCAGATTTACGATTATTAGTGTGAATAAAATATTATCAAAAAATAGAATTATTAAGAATGTTATATTTTGTGTTTGATTGTTTAGCATGAATGTAAGATTATCGTGTTTGGTTAAATAAATAAAAGGTTATTAGAATGTATATTTGATCAAATTATCCTTGTTATATATTTATTTTTTTAACAAGTTAAAAAATATTTATATATTTTCTTAAAAAAATTAAATTCATGAAATTCATATAATTTTTTTACAAATTTGAAAATATAAAAAAGTTTAATGAAAGGGTAAAATTTTATTTTAACCCCTGAACTTCATATAAAATTTTAATTATAGATTTTTTTAGTAAATCTATAATAGTTTAAGGATAAATTTGTAATTTAATATTTGTAGAATTTTTATTATTCAATGACAGAACAAGGATATTTTTGAAAAAAATAATTTAAGGACATTTTAGTCCAAAACGTCGGTAATCCAACAATACATAAGGAAAGGGAGGTAATGACATTCCCGGTAATATACCCAAAAAAATTCACTATTGGTAATATAAGATTACCGGGAATGACATTCCCGACCAACCAAACGGGGAATGTGAATTTCATTCTCATTGGAATCTCACATCTCCCAACCAAACACACTTAGATATATTTGTTTTATAGATTGTAATTTTTTTTAAAAAAAAATTACGTAAAATATTTTATCTAAAAAAATATATATAAATTATTTTATGTAAAATAAATTATATTTTCTAAAAAATAGTTTTAAGAAACTATTAAATAAATAATATTATTAATAAAATAATATTTTTGAGTGTTTATACTCTGAAGTGAAAAATTAGGAAAATATTTTAAGAAAAATCAAATAGTAAAACAATTTACAAAAATATACAAAAGAATTAGAAAAATCAATTACAACTATCAAACACTAGAAAAATATTTTCCGTAAAACCGTTTACAACTATCAAACACCGAAAAACGTTTTTAAAAAATATTTTTCAACTATCAAACATAGGAAAATGAGAAAAATATTTTTTGAAAAATATTTTTCGGCTGTCAAACACACCTTTAATTTGATTTCAGCATAACTTACACGTTTAGTATTTAAAAGTATCAATTTTGATTCATTTTAGTATCTAAGTTTTCAATTTTTTTAAAATCATACCTAAAGTTTTATTTTTGGTTCATTTTAGTAACTTGTTCAAAAATTGATGTTAAAATTTAAAAATATTTAAAGTTTAGGTACTAAAATAGACAAAAAAAAATAATAGTTTAGGTGCTAAACGCGTTAAGTTTTTAACAACGGGATATTAGAATGAAATGAAAACTAAACGCTATGTATGATATTGAAAAACATGAAAGTTTAGATACTAAATGGATCGAAATTTACTCTTGATTTTAAAATATTTGTTATTTTAATTTATATTGGGTTGGACTGTAAACAATGGATTAGATTAAGTTTAGAATGAAAAATCTACCATTGTTCAAATTCAAAATAATAATAATAATTTTAAAATTAACATGACACACTGAAATACATCACTACTATGACACATCAAGATACACCATCAAATAAATTATTTTTATTAAGAAAATATTAAAAATTTCCAGGGTTTTTATGCATTTTTATATAAAAGTGTTATAAAAATATAAATTTAGGAATTAACATGATCTAAGAATCATCAAAAACAATTTTAAGTATTGCATGAAATAGATTTTGGCTCTTAAATTCCAACTAAAAAATACTTTTATATTTGAAGTTTAATAATTTAATTCATTTTAATATTCGATCCAAATTATATTCTTGAACACGACAAAATCTACATATCTTACAACACAATAATACTAGAAGAGACTAATTCGCATAATAAAACGTTTGTATCAAACTTTTTTCGAACAAGAGGTTGTACATCACTCAAGTGGTGGGAAAAATTCATACGTACAATACTCGATTTCATTGCAAAAATAAAAGGAAACTATACTTGTACATGCGATCCATGACAACGACAAGTGTTGTTTAATTGCTTGATCCATGAACACCATGATTCTTCTGTGATTCATGAACCCTTTTTGCTTGATTTGATTCTCCTGTTGATCTCTTTCTCCAACTCTTCGAGCCCTCCCACTTCCTCCAATTCCTGCAAGTTTGTATTTGATGTATTGATACGTATAATTTAAATAAAATTAAAAACGAATTATTTATTTTAAAAAAATAATTGCTAGTGATTCCCGATGATTCAAACAATATGGAATAAAAAAATTTGAAAAATAAATGAGATTTGGACAGTTAGTCACCTTAGCTCCTAGAAACAACCCATACGGTACACCTTGGAATTTTTCTGAATGATGGAGCTGAAAATGCCAAAAATCAAATCCAAATAAGATCAGAAGAAGGAAAAAAAAAAGGATAGATTGCTATCATTTTTTATCGTCTTATTTTTTGTTTTATTTTAGTATCATATCGTTAAAATTTTTTGATTTTGTTCCATTTTATTATCCCGATTCAAAATTTAATACTAAGTTTCAAAAATCTTAAAACTTTAGAAAGTAAATTAAAATAGACAAAAACTGATAGTTTAGATATTAAATGCATTATGTTTTTAACGATATGTATTAAAATGAAATTAAAAATAAATGTTAAGTATGATTTTAAAAAAATTAAAAATTTAATTACTAAAAAAAACTAATAGTTTAAATCATAAATACGTGGTTTACCCAAAAAAAAAATTGTTTGTTTATAACAAGGATAGTGTGGTGCGTAATTAAATAAATAACCTGATGAGCCGCTGCAACCTTCCGGAAATAGGGAACGTTGGCAATAGGCCCCACTGGGAATCTCTTATGCACAAGACCGTCGTGGATGAACATGTAGGCCATTCCGAACACCGTTATCCCAAGCCCCTGCACCCATCTCAAAAGGTACACACTATTTTATATTTTTAAAACAAAAACCACACGATTTTAAAAGTTTAAGTAATAAAATATATCAAACTGATAGTTTATATATTAAATACGTGATTTATCTAAATTACAATGATAGACAAAAGGTTAAGTAAACCAAGACATTAAATAATGATTAAACAATTTTTTTATCACTAAAACTTTAAAAATTATAAAACTATTATTGATTTTTTTAATATTTGTAAAATAATTACTAAATCTATTTTAAAAACAATCATTAAATTTTATCAAAATATTATAAATCAATCATTAAAATCTTTAAATTTTTATAAATTATTAATAGTAATTCATTATTTTATAATAATTTAATAAATTTAATAATTATTTTATAGCTTCAAAGTTGAATAATTGTCTTGAACATAATTCAACAAATAATTAAAGGCAGAAAAGAGAGACTTACAGCACCAAAACATAGACCAGGAACAAGGCCTTTGTTGAAGAAACCATAAGAGAGAAGAGCTACAGCTGGGACGGCGTTGACAATGGCGAATACATCGTTTAGCTCGAACGGACCTTCTCTAGGCCGATGATGAGACTGCAAAACAGCAAGAATTCGACTCGATTGGATTCCTGATATAATCTACATTAATATATCCATTGGGAAATGAATATATGAACAAATACCTCGTGCATATGCCACAAGGAAGCATGCCATAGAGCTCGATGTGCCCATCTAGCCCAAAACTCCATGCCCACCTGAACAAGGACAAAAACAGTTTCAGATTTCAACATTCAACGAGATGGTGACTCAGTGACTGGGTTTCAGATATTGAACTCACAGCAGCACCAACTGATAAAGCAAATGTGCCAAACATTTCAGAAAGAGGAACCTCTCCACCCTTGCAAAACGTATGAAAACAACACGGTCAGAGATTGACCGTACAATTAGAAACAAATGGGAGAAAATAATGAGGGAGAAGAGAAGGAAATGAACCTCCGTTTGCCAAGAAAATCTATAGTAAACTGCCATAACCGCCATGGAAGTGATGCCGAAACTAGACATGACGGCCGCGACAAGGTAAGTAAACCTTTCTGATCTTTTCCTAGCCAATTTCTCCGCCACATGGGAGGGTATTAAGATCCGTGGGTCGATGTTCCCCGCATCCTCGGAAGCTTCTTCCACGACCCGGGGCTCACCGAGTTTATTTTCCTCCAACACGAAGCAAACGGACAACAAACTCGTCTTTCTTCGAGCGCCGTACCTGATCTTTTGGTGGTGGATTAAAGGATTGAAAACCGGCGCTGGGTTCGGTCTATGGTGTGAGAAGAGTAGTGAACGGGAGGTTTTAGGGGTTACGGTGGCGTATAGACCGGCAGCCATGGAAATAAACCTTGAGAAGCTCAAAGCGAGGTCCGGCGAAGAAGAAGAAGAAGAAAAAGAGAGAGAGGCCGGTGGTGGAGTTTTATGTCTTTTATAGAGTGAGGTTAAATGCACGAAGACCACAACTTTTCCCTTTTGATTTTGGTATCGTGGGAAATACTATGGAATTAAAACACTCTATCTACATCCTCGACAGCCGTCAATGCGTATTTTTAATTTACACAGAAATTAAAAGAGAAAAAAATGTCATTGCTTCGTCTACTAAAATTGCCACTACGATTGGTCTTCAAATCATCAAATGTAACACGTGGTGTTATGCATGTCAACTTAGATTAGTGTTTAATTAATTTAAATTATTATAATTTTTATTATAATTATCGATATTTAATATATTAATTAATTCGGATCCTGTTGTCACATCCTAATTTCGGAGATAAATTTTTCTTACTTTTATTTTGATGATTAAATTAAAATTTGGCAAAATTTAGAGATCAAAATGAAACTTTAGCTAAATATAGACCCAAATTAGAAAGTTTCAAAAGCCAAGAACTTATGGCATAGTTATACCATTTTCTTTTGATGGGTATAAAACACTCCCAAAATCAGCAAATTTCCATTTCTGTAAACCAATCCTCTCTCTTCAACCTTCCATTTTTGAAATATATAAGCCAAGGATACTTAAACGTCGTTTTACTTCCGACCAAAGCTCCGTTGTTGATACCGCTCATACAATTGAAGTCCTTGTGTTCGTCTCGAGTCCAACGATTGTCTCTTTGTTTCCATCGTCGTTGGCGTGAGGAGGGGTGAATGATAACAAGTTTCTGGTGAAGCATAATCGGGCTCTCTGTCATTCACAAATGTGAATTGAGGTTGGTAAGTGCCTTAAAATGCTTCTAAATAACTTTTAGATTTTTTTTCATATTTTTTCGATCGTAGATAAGCCCGAAAGCGCCCCCAAATGCCATCGTTACGCATGGGGAAGAGCAACCGCTTGGTGGGTTTCTAGAAGTGGGTCAAACCGACCCGCTAACCTGATCTGACCCAACCGCCTGACCCGTTGGTCTATCTGCCCGATCTGATCCACTTACCCGACCCGTGCACTGTCATCCTAAACCCAAATATGATCCAGCCCAAACTGAACTGGCTCAACCCGAATCAGTCTAATGGAGCCGAGCTGAACCAAATTGAATTGGTCCAGCCATTTCGCACGAGCTGTGTCGCGCCGCACCGCGCCACACCGCGCCGTTTGACTATTGACCGACGTTGACCGTCGACCATAGTTGACTTTTTCAAAAACCTCGGTCTTGATGTTTTTCGATGTCCTGAGTCCAATTTTGCGATCGGTTTTACCAAATTCTAACCCCCAAAAATCCCCAAATCAAGCCTATTAATCCGAAAATGCTTAGTATTTTAACATTTTTGTTTATTTGTTTGGGAGCACTAATCACATATAATGTTACACTTTAGTTTCGTTAGGATCACTTACCGTTCAAAACTAATATAAATGTCAATGTGATGTTTATTTAAAAAAGTTCTATGATGACATGATATTATCTTACGTTGAATTGGTGACATATCAACACCACAATTAATTTTAAATGAGAGTGATCTGAAACCAAAACGTAAAATTTGATATAATTTTAAAACAAAAAATAATTAGATGATCAAAACGAAATAAAAAATGATCATTAGAATACTAAATGTAATTTACCCTATATTTTATTTGAGATTTAATGATAGAGTTAATGAAAAAAATAAAAGTTTAAAGATGATTAAATTAAAATGTAAAATTTAATGATTAAGAAATAAGTGGTTAAACTATACCTTGAGATAAGATTTAGTGTCTAAAAAGATTTTCGTTAAAAATAGGTATCTAACGTTTTCTTTATTGCACTTTTAGATGAATAATATTATATTTTTTAATTTTTTAATAATAAAAATATTAGTTTTTTTAAATAAGCCCCCTTCCCCGTCATCCCTCCCCTCTCGTTGCCCCACGTTTGACGTCGAACGGTCATCATCAGTTGGGTTTTATTCAGAGCACGACAAGAACACAACGATGGCTACCGTATAACGTACAGACGACTATAGCCGTAGAAATAGTCATAAAACATAAATGAAAACCTAAAATTCTAGTGATCATTCATGCCTTTTCTCACGACAATTGATGCAGTTTCACGATGGGTGCGGGATTGGGTTTTGTTAATGGCGGGCGACGAGACAGTTCTGATGGTGTCAACGATGATGGCCACAGACCGATGATGGCCAACATTCGACGAAAATGTAAAACTTATAACTTTTTATTTTTTAAATAAAATAATTTTTAAAATTTTATATGCATGATACATGTCAGATAACAATCAAATTTAATGGTCGTTACGATTCATGCACCTAAAAGTATAATATTGGAACAATAGACACCTATTTTGAGTAAAAATTTCTTTAAGCACCAAATCTTATTTCGGGCTTAATTCTCATATAAGTGCCCAGACTATTCCTTTTTTTTCTTCCAAATAAGTGCCTACGGTTTTTTTACCCATCCGGGTGCCTAACGTTACAAACATTACCCTTTTAGGTGCTCAGGTCGTTAACGCTTTTAATTTTCCCGTTAAGTGCCATGTGTGAACACTCGTAATTTTGAAATTTTTTTCACAAAAATAAAAATATTATTATGTTTATAAAAAACTCGAACTTTTCTTATATTATAAAACAATCCCAAAATACTTAATCCGCCACCGACGCCTTCTCCAACCACCACCGTCATCGCCAACGTAGTCCTTAACATCATTCTAGTTATATGTTGTTTTAGTTGTCGCCGATTAATCGTCGAAATCGCGTGGGATCACGATTTTTATTTTAGGGTTTGTGAGATTTAAAATGTCAATTTGTGGTAGATTGGTCGTCAACCGATCACGATTTCATAGGGGCTATGGTCACCAGGGGGAGGAGAGGTCAGATGGAGCTTCTTCAATGGTAAAGGCGGTTATTGACATGGGTTTAAGGGTTGAGATGATAGTTTTCAAAGTTTAAGGGTTATTTCAAAATTTATGTTTTTTCTTTTTTAAAAATATATAATTTTATTTTTAAAAAAATTATATAAAATTTTTAAAACTACCAAGTGTTGACATGTGTCACTTAACAGAAAAATTAATGGCGTTGACGACCTAGGCACCTAAAAGGGTAACATTTATAATAGTAGGAATCCAGATGAACCAGAAAAAACCGTAGGCACTTATTTAGCAAAAAAAAAAAAAGATAGTTTGGGCATTTAATTAAGAATTAAGCCCTTATTTCTAGGTATAATTTAGACAATTACTCTTATATTAAGTCTTTAAATAAAGTGAGTGGTAAAATCTATAATTTAAAAAAATTGATAAAGGTAAAGAAGAGACAATAATGTTAGTATTTCCTTTGAAAATAAAACGTCGGTAGCAAGATTGAAGAAAATTAAATTCCCGCTGAGCGAGCGGATAGAGAGGGAAATCGAAAGAGAAAGAGAACGGGCAAGAAGATTAATGCAAGCACAATGGACGACGTTGATCGGTTGTTCGAATGCTTCAAATGTGGCATCTCTCCTCCTCGTAAGCTCTTCTCCCTTTTCTTCTCAATCCCTTTCTTCTTCTTCTTATTGTTTAGTGAATTACACTGCAAAATTATTTTGAAATCGAGTAGTCGACGATGATAAGCCTTGGGCGTCATACTTCATCAAATAGTTTACGAGAGTTTCATTAAAACTTTCACTGAAATTGCAACTGTATTTGTAAAAAGGTTTCAATTAGGCAATGTATTTATGTTTTTTGCAATCTTCATCATCGTTGAATATCAAATTAATCTATTAGTTGCTACCACTGATTCTAGTCCACTTCAATTTTACGCGAATTTAGTGTGTTGTGCAAATTAAAGAAAAAAAAGAGGGGGATAGTAAAGAGTCTTGATTTCCCCCCTTAGAATCTGCTGTAAGGGAAAGAAAAAGATGTAAAAGCAAGCTGAATCGAGAAAATTCTACGAGAAAGACCTCCGTGTCACCTTGTTCGCCATCTCTATCAGAAGAAAGAAAGGAAACTGCAACCAGTGCACAACTCTCCGTCGAAAAGGTATTTGATTTAAATTGCTTTTGTTTTATTTATGTTTATAGCTTATTGGGACACTTTTTTTGGTTTAATACAGCGGGGAGTTAAACTCAGTTCACCTTAAAATCAACTTTTGATACATGGATTCACTTACTTGAACGAAATTTGGCTTTGTTTTGATTTAATAACAAAATCCCGTAATTTAGACTCTTTAACTTGTTTGTCACCAGTTCATTGTTTCTTGTCTACGGCACTGCAGAAATTGACTTAACTTTATGTTTCCTTTAGTCTGCTTCAACAACAGTTAAGCCTGGAAAATTTAGACGTGGGAAACAGTTCTCACGGTTATATTTATGGGTTTCCACATGGCATTCCTCCAAAAAGACCATTGAGTTTGCTGTGCTTGTTACGTGAAACTCATATTGATCTTAGTGAACAAGATAAATCAAATTTGAGGTAGTTGTCTGACTCCATTTCAGGACTTCTTAGATTCTATTAGATTAACTGTTTTGATACAAAAGCATTCTTTATATCTTTTCTTACTGTCCTTTTTTCTTGACTTGGCTCTTGTTTCTAATTTTCTAGAACAGCAGTATGGGCTACATGTCCTTTTTTCGTTTCAAAAGGAAGGCCAACCTTCAAAGCAAACAGCATTTTAGATATTGTTATTTACCTTGCCCGGAGGCCAGAATATTCTATGTTCTCTTTCTTGCAGAATAGAAGAGTCTTATACTATTGAGACGTTATCTGTTAACCATGAGAGTTCTTCTGCTACGCAGGTAACTAGTAATTTTGGAAGATATCACAAAGCTCAAAAAGGCACTGGCATTAGTGATGTTTCTTCAGATACCAAACGGGAAAGTCGCCCTTCCCTTGTTTGGATGAATTTATAATATCAATTGCCTCCACCGGAAAAATACCAGGTAGCAATTGAATCAAGCATGTTTCAGTACTCTTATTTTGATTCACCTTCCACATTTGATCAAGAACCAACAATATCTTGTTCTTGCTTGAGTTTTGACATATTTACTGTGGCTTGGAGCACGTAATTCCATG